TCCTCTTGTCCCACTATCATGCTCAGCCTTCATTTGGGTTTCAGTAATTCCTCTTGGTTACATTACCCTTGATCAAGCCCTACCAGGCCTCCTACACCCTCTTCACCACCTATTTGGATCACCTGTTGTTCCCTCATCCCTGGGTTTGTTAACATCACTTCCTTTCCCCCCACTGCCCCTTTTCCCACACCCCCCTGTAACTGTGGATCCCTAGGAACCACTTAGTTTTTCTAGTCTTACAACAAAGAAGGCAGTTCATGGAGGCAATTAGCTACACATTCATGAATCTCTTTCCATTCTTACGTCTGATTCCATGGAGGCAATTAGCTACACATTCATGATTCTCTTTCCATTCTTGCGTCTGATTCCTCTGATATTCCAGGCAAAAAGAAACAAATTATTGTGCCATGGATGGCAGCTTGAAAGCCTTTAAAAGACCAAGGCACTAACCTTCAAATTAGGAGGTAGGATCGAGGCACAAAACATTTTATTAGGCCAATTAAATGGGATGTTCTATGAACTCATGGCCCTAAACCTCTAAACCATGAAACCAAGTCTCCTGAGGTTTTCGGTTGTACATAAACAGCCTCAGTATATGTGTGTGTCACTGTAGAGTAAATACAAAGGGGCTCTAAAATGCTCATAGAAAAATTCCATTGTCTTTTTGTTTCTTCATATCACTAACTATTTGAAGTCATATATCCACCACACAACTTTTGTCAATTCAACTTTTTATAGGTGTACAACTTACTGAAAGCAATGACCATAATCAATTGTGAAAGTTATCCCCCACACACACCTGTAACCACTAAAAACTTTGTTCTCCTTTCTTGTGAGGCTCCATAGGGTTTTCTTGGTGTAATCTTTACAGAAACAGGTCAGTAAAGATTCTTTTCTGTGGTGCTGTTGGGTGGGTCAGAATTACCAACCTTTAGGCTAGTTGTTATTGTTAGGTGCAACTGAGTCAGCTCCAACTCATAGCGACCCTGCATACAACAACACAAAACTTTGCATAGTCCTCACAATTGTGTTTGAGCCTATTGTTGCTGCCACCTTGTTGTCGACCTCCATATAATCCATCTTCCTTGTCTATTTGTTCAGCTACAGATTGAATAAGCATGCTGAAATAATACAACCCCAACACACACCTTCCATGGTTTGAAACCTGGTATTGCTTCCTCTGTCAGGAATGATCTTGATGTGCCTGCTTATTCCCATGATTCACCTTTAAGATTTCAAATCATATCATTTCCTGAGAGACCAACACTGGTGATATTATGCAGAGTCCCAAACACCTCTATCCCTCCAGTACACTGTTTATTTTCTTTGCATTTATCATAACCAGAATACTGGGGCCTTGGGAGCCTAGCATGATCTGGAAACAGCTGATGATGAGCCTGATCCAGCCACTATCTCCCAATAGCTGCCCCCAGGCCTTCATTGACTCTGCAGGCTTCTAAAGGTCCCCTTGAATCCTCCCATTTCCCCCTGGATCCTCATGGCTATTGATTTCTCCCCTAGATTCCATTCTCTGTTACTAGGACCTACAGTCTCATTATGTAGTGATTTCACTTTTTCACCTAGGTATTCCTGAGTTTCTGCTGCAGCTCATTCCTAACTTCAGACCTCTACATCCACACTTACTCATACATGTGCAACTTTTGGGGCCCTACAGATATAACCTTAGTTTTAGACTATAGAACCTCAGATGGATAGAACCTCGGCATAGCCAATGGCAACCCAGGAGGAGGGTTTTTACCCTCCAGATGTCCCTGCACTAGCTTCCTAAGCCCAGACCCAATGTCTAGGACATAGATATTTTAGAACCTGGTTTTGGTGGCATAGTGGTTACTCATTGGGCTTTGGTCCACAAGGTCCGCAGTTCGAAAGCATCATGCACTCCCCATGAGAAAGAAGGACTTCCTACTCTCATAAAGCCTTAACAGTCTCAGAAATCCACAGGGTCAAGTTTTACTCTGTCTGATAGAATCACCATAAGTCAGAATTTACTTGATATCAGTGAGTTTGATCATTTTTGGCTAAAAAGAGTTAGTCTCAGAAACTTACAGGGGACATTCTACCCTGTCCTATAGGATTAACCTTGGTTTGTAGGGTTTGTAGTGTCTTTGAGATAGTACTAGAGACTCACAGGTACTAGGGTTCCTGTAGGAGTGCACTGGGGTGTGAATAGTAAAAACTGTGGGACAGGAGATCAAGCTCAGTTATGCTAGGACGGGATATAAGGGCAAAGGGGGTGAGACACATTAGACAAACCATAGGCCCTTCCCCATGCCCTTTTACTTCCTGCTCCCAGCTGCTGAGGTGCCACTGGTTCTGGCCAGCCTGCCCCTTCCTTGCCAGTTCACGAACATTCACAAGATCACTTTAAGGAGGCACAAGAACATTTTAATTTACAAAGAGGATTTGGATAGCTCCCCCACCCCACACCCCTCCAATTAGAAAGGAGCATAAAAGTCATAATGAGAGAAGAACCGTTTGGAGGTTAAGATCCCCAGATAGGAAGGGTGCCGTGGAGGACAAGGTTTGGGAGAGAAGGACAGGTCTTGGAGCTCCATGAAACTGGTCCTGGGCTTAGCAGTGACTTTCACAGCCTACGGAGAGAGTAGAGTGAGGTCCTTACAGCATCGAAATTTATTTAATACTATCTAGTGAAAAATTCATATTTTTCATCACATAAAAGATTCTGCTTCTAGGTATGACTGACATCAATCTCTACCTCAAGCCTATGGCACCTTCCTACAGAACCAAAGCCTCTTTTCAAATTTACAATTCATAACAGGATGCAGTACCCAGTTAGCAACTTATCTGTATTGGGTGATCTACTGTGCTCACAGAATACCAGTCTGGGTTATCTCAAAGTAGCCTCAACACATACACTAACAATGATTTTTATTGCTCACTCTCAAAGTATGTGGCTGCCTGCTGGCGTTTTACCTTACCTGAGTTGATAAGTGGAGTAGCTTTCTCAGGTAATGGGCTAGAGAAGGAACACAACAGATTAGATCATCATCTGGGTCTTTTGTCTCTTTACCCCACCCCAAGACTTTTGCTTTTCCCTTCCCTGTAAAGGCCCTTGTTATTATTCATTGTCACTTCATACAGTACAAAGGTCTGGGGCCTTCCAAGTCTTGGGGACTCTTAGGGTTGATTAGCAAGCTCTGGCGGTGTGTTGGGTTAAATGTTGAGCTGCTAATTTCAAGGATGATAATTCAAAGATTGAGGATATTATCCGCAAAACAGGATGACTCAGCATTAAGTGAAAAAAACAGGTGCTCCTTCTTACTTGTTGTTGGGATCTGACTTGCATTTGCATTTGTTACCTGTGAGTGGAAGACAGGGATGCATCAGGGTTCAGTCTCTCCCCGCATCCCCCTGACCCCTGCCAGTCACTCACTTACTCAAAGCAAAGATGATTCCAGCTATGCACATAATTCCTGCACAGATCAACCCGCCAAGCTGGAGGTTTTCCCAGTCTGAGGGAAACACAGAGATTGAGTTATACTGTACTCCAATTCATCTACACTAAGTTCTACAACTTGTCTGGCACAAGAGGTTCAGGATAGGCAAGATAGGGGCACCGGAGAGTACTAATTCTTACCATAATAGAAGGGACTGTTTTTGTCTGCAAAGAAAATAAATAAACAAATAAGCAAACAGTAAGTAAGAAGCAGAACCAAGAGGTAGGATATAGGTGTGTGGAGGGTAGGAAGGACCTAAAAGGGAAAAATGAAGCAGCAGAAAGAGCAGTGTGATTTGGGGTCTAACTCACCAATATTGTTGGCTTTCAAGACAGGCAGGCCTATGTGGGGAGAAGCAGAGAAATGGATATTAATTCATGACACATTAAGTCAGTTAGCAGGACCTCACAAGCCAGAGAAGCAAGGGAAACCAGGTCCCTGGGGGCACTGCAGAGTCCCTATTCTCAACAGCCATTCAGGCTTACACCAGTCATGGTAAGTGGATCCCCACTTATAGTCCATCTTTTTTTTGGTGGTGGGGGAAATATTTTTATTGGTATATCTTACTCATTCCAACATATTTATAGCCCATCTTGCTGTTTCTTTGAGCTTCCTCCTGGTCTTTCCTGTGCTATGAATGAGATTGTTTTACAGTCTATTTTTATCCTTTCTTAAGGATTCCTACACCAAGCTTTCCAAAGAACTAAAACCCCCAAACCAAACTCATTGCCACTGAGTGGATTCTGATTCATAGACCATATAGGGCAGAATAGAACTTGCCCCATGGGGTTTCTAAGACTGTAATCTTTACGCAAGCAAACGTTTCCCTTGTAGCAGCTGGTGGGTTTGAACAGCCGACCTTTTAGTGTCCCCAGGGCTTCTTTCCAAAGGACTAGGAATGGTTTTCTTTGAAGCAGCTATGGTTTTCCAAACTTATTCCAAAACATTAATACTGTTTTCAATATGTACATCCGACCTGTATAATTGTTTCAACTATGTCTCTTTAAGTGGCATAAACCTTTCTCTTTAGGAGGAAAACCCTTTTATTAGACATTATGCCCCCTGTGGGAGATGCAGTTCTCCAAAGCTTTAGTGGGTGGTAGTGGGTCCTGTTGGCAGGAGGTAGTGATGTGGCTCTGGAACTCACAAGTCAGCAGGATAAGAAGACCCCATGTCACTTCTTCCATGTCAAACACCAGCAGGGCAGGGGCTACAGAAGGAGAGAAGAGCAGAAGACAAGCCAGAGTCACAAGGGCCAACTCTCTGCCCCAGACCCCTGCTCCTAGGTTCACAGCTTAGTAAGAGGGCAGATGAGGGACCCAAGTGTCACAAATGTTTGAGAGGGTGGAGTCCAAATTCGAAGGATGCTGCTTGCTGGGAGGGGAAAGTTACTTCACTTCTATTTACAAGTTCATCTAGAGGTAGAGATCGCAACTGCCTCTTAGGCTGACAGATTGAGTGACTTATTTAGGCTAGAGATTGTTCATATCTTTATGGCACCCCTATAAGGGAGATACACTTTTTACCTCAAGTTTGTGGGAGTTAAAACCAGAATGTGGTAGGCTTAATTGGATGTTGGGATCAACCGTTGGAACCTCTATTCTGACTCAAGCTTTGGAATCAGAGTTTTTAACCACACAAAGGCCCTGCGTGACTGTTCAAAAAGATTTGGGCACAGGTATGGAAAAGGGCTGCTGGAGCCCACCAGGTTGAGATCCCAGCTAGCTCCTACAATGTGGTATGGCAAAACATAGGTGAAAATTGTCACTGGAAATTAGTAAAGAAACACAAGTAAGCCTGTGCTTATTTTACTCTCTGGGTACTCTATCTCTGTCAAGGACTGTAAACTTGAAAAGAGGCCATGATTCTGTAGGAAGGTGCTGTGGTGTTGGGAGAGAGACTGAGGCCCATCATACTTAGAAGCAGACTTTGGTGTGGTAGAAAAATGTGAACTTGTTCACTGCAAATGACCTAGTAAACAAGATAAGCACCTTGTCTATTGAATGATCTGCTCCAGGGTGAGGTCAGGATGCTTGCTGGATCAGGAGCTCCCACCCATTCTCAGATAGGCCTTTCTCTTGTAAAGTGGGGACTCTCCAGGATCACATTTGACTGCTTATGAGGTGGCTGTGTCCCTGAGATAAGGCCCTGCCTGACCACCCAGCAGTTCTGCATATTGCTAGCTGCAAAGCATAGTAATTGCCCATGTTCCACACTGAAACCATTGTTGTTATGTGCTAGTCCCAGTTCTGGCTGCCCAAGATAGTTGTGGTTCTAGCTGGTCAGGGCTCTCATTCTCTGCCAGTCACTTACCAGTACCGCTGTCATGGCTGCATTAGCATTCTGTAAAGTGAGCACTATTGTAATCACAAACCCATAAGGTTATAATGATCAAAGTAAATGAGTTACTTAGAGCATGATTTAGTACAAGGGTGGGGAACAGCCATGGAGTCACTGTTGACTCAGCAACCCCCTGTGGGTTTCTAAGACTAGAACTGTTGACGGGAATAGAAAGCCCAGTTTTCTCTCTTGGAGCTTCTGGTGGTTTTGAACCACTTACCATGTGGATCGCAGCCCAACTATAACCATTACACCACCAGGGCTCCATATGGGCCGTATAAAGCCCATGAAATATTCAATGCCAGCTAACATCATATACCTCACCGAAGATATTAAAAAACCAAATTCACTGCTATTGAGTCAATACTGACTCAATGCAACCCCTCTGTGGATTTCCAAGCGTGCAACTGTTTACGGGAAGCTGCTAGTGGTTTCTAACTAGTAACTATGCAGATCGAAGCCCAATACCTACCAGCAGGGCTCCTTAACAAAGAGATGAAAATGAGCTAATTGACCAAGTATAGTACAGCAGGGTACATTTTAAGTTCTTAATTTTATATGACACACAAATGTCAAATATCCAAATGGCTCTTGGCAGAAAATAAGTTCCCCTCCCCTGACCCAGTACATCAGCCCATTCCTGTTGTGTAGATTCAGTCTCATACTGATCCCATTTGTTGCAGGGGGCCTCAAACCTTTTAAACGGGGCCAGTTCACTGTCCCTCAGACCTGTTGGAGGCCTGCACTATAGTTTTAAAAAAAAACTATGAACAAATTCCTATGTACACCGCACATATCTTATTTTGAAGTAAAAAAACAAATGGGGCAAAAACACCCGACGGCCGGATAAATGTCCTCGGTGGGCCGCATGTGGCCCGCGTAGTTTGAGGATGCCTGTCAGAGTAGAGCTGACCTCCACAGGATTTTCTTCGCTGCACCCTTTATTGACGCAGATCACAAGTGCCTTTTTTCCCTGCTGTACAGCTGGGTGGGTTTGAACTGCCAACTTGATTAGCAATACAAGGCAATTGCACCACCCAAGGACCAGATGCCAGCACTAAAAAGGTGTTCCAGTAAATACATTCATAAACAAACACACAAATGCCTTTTACCCTCATAATAACCAAAGGAGGGAGGAATTCTTAAGGGCTTGGTTCTAAATATGGACCTTGAGTGCTTAATAGTCCTTGAGGCTTTGTTCTTCTGCCACCGTCAGACCCCTGAGTACTAAGAATGTCAACTCCAGCCCTAGTACTTTTTAGGCAAAGGCTAGCTCCTGTTCCCTTGAACCCCCAAACCACTGTTTAGATGAGAGAGGTTATAAAGAGAGGCAGCCTTGAGAAACGATGTACAAATGCGCATTGCACAGTTGATGTGTGTATGGATTGGGATAACAGTTGTATGAGCCCCTAATAAAATGTTTAAAATAAATAAATAAATAGATAAAGAGAGGCAGCCTCAACACTCAGGAGACTCTTAAGTGTCACTAGTTTGTTTCTGAACCCCCCAAACATGAGCCTCATTGTTCAGAATCCCATCAATCACCACCCATTCTCAGGGTGGTTCCTCTGGGCTGTCCCTAATCTCAGAGCCCAAGTCGCGACAGCCAGACCCTCACATTCACTCCCCACAAGCAGTTCCTGTGGGAGGCAGGAGTGGAAGGAGGAACGTTTGCTCACCTGAGCGCCCTTCACTTCAGAGTCCAGTGCAAAAGAGATGGTCTGGAGAGGCTGCTGGGTCTGTGGAGAGACCAGATGGGTCCAGGCTCTTTATGACAGCAATTCTGCCCAGGCCACAAACCCTGTAGCTGAGGAACTGGTCTGACTCCTTGAGCTTCCCCTAACTCCTTCATCCGTTTGCTCTTAAGAAGGCAGCTTGTGCTGCCACACCCAGGGTGGGAAAGGAATGGGCTAGCCTTCCATTCTCCAGTAACCTTTCTCTGCTCTGTTAGCTTCTTTGATTTGCAGAGATTCTAAAATAAGGGCACAGAAAAGGTGCTAGTGGGGAATGAAATACTACTGGGTTCTTCTGCCAGCAGTATGGGTTCAACATGTCTATATAGTAATATTGTTGTTGAGGCTTGGTTTGCTTATCGTCTCATTGCTTTTACTTAGACAATGTATTTATTGAAGTGGCAGCTGGGTGCCAACGTACACTGGTGCCAATCTGAAGCCATCCCTTGTGATTCCTTACTCTCTGACCAGGCCTTGACAGTCTCTTAGCGCGATGGCTGGAATCAAGTCCCTCATTCTCCCACCTGCACAGGGGAAAGGGAGGAAGCGGAGTAGAGTGTAAGGGGAAGACACTGAATGAGGATGAGGACTGCCTCGTGTGCTGCTGTCCCCTGCTCTCTCACTCTGCTCACTAAAAGAACGAGAAGATTGAGACAAGCTGGCATGTACTGACTTGTAAAGAGCTGGAGGACATATATGAACAGTATAGAGCAGGGCAAGTAGTATGCTCTCATCTGTGGAAATAGGAAAGATCTGTCAATATCACACAAGCAGGCACTCACAAAAAAAAAACTGGTGCTAGGTTCATGAGGTTGAGTGGAGGTTGGGGGAGGAAGAAAGCTGATGGCTGTGAGGTAGTGGGGGAACTTGTTCTTTCCTCACTCCATTGACCTGTGCATATCAGACTCACTCAAAAATAGAATCACACACGTCAATGCGGGCAGCATTCTAACTCCAGTCTCACTAGTTCTTTCTGAAGGAATGAGTTCATGCCTAAAAGCAAAGGCACCCCTGACAGAGACCTGGTTTTATCCTAAGCCTTAAAATTAGTCCAAAAGCTGCCAAAGTGAAGTCCAAGGAGACGGGAAAAGACAGTAGCCCTGAGCAATATCCTTGGTAGTCCTGGAGGAGAAGGCTGCTTAAGGGGAAGATAGATGGAGGAGGAACATACACAAACACAAAGGATAAGGGTAGACATAAGGGATTTCCATTCAAGACATATAGGAGACAATAGGAGAGAGCCGCCTTTGTCCTTAATTTTGGCCTGATGGATCAATAAAAGACTCCTCCTCGCTGCTTCTATCATAAAGCATTTGACAGAGTTTTTGCAGACTTACTGTTCATGTTTATGTCATCTGTTATAAGACCAAACTGTTAGGTAGCTAGCACAGGGACTGGGGTGTCCATTGCGCAAGCTCAGAGGTTCAAGCTTCCACCCAGGAAGGGGTGTTACACCTGGATTGGCCCATCTGGGCCAGGTGAATTCAACTCAGCCAATGGGGTTGTCCAGGATCATCAACCATGCCTCCTGGCAGAGCAACTTTAAAGGTGGGACCCAGAGCATGGGATTCATTGCATCTCTTTTTTGTCTCTTGAGCAGCTTCTCAGCAGGCTGTGCAGGGGTGAAAGGTCCTGAGGATGCCTGTGTGAGCCTGAAACTTCTTCGATCTTTCATAAAATTCACTTGGATCACAATCGAGGGTTTGGAGTGAATTCTTTCTCGTGCATAGCCAAGGTCCAAGATATTTCTCCCACGAGAGAGAGATCTAACAAAACCACTACCAACTCTGTATAAAAATATCAAACTTTATATGACTTTTTGGATTAAGTCAGGTATAGTCTTGATGGTGTGTGTTAGTTTGTGTCCTCTCTTTTCTCTTGGACACATATGTTTAATAGAACTCTGTTTTCTCCCTCTCTTATAATCTTGTGATAATTTCCCCCTAGAACAATCCTCACAAATGTTCTTTGTGACATGTACTCTTATTTATCTCCATATTAACCATCTAATTAATTGGCTTCAAGTCAGCTGATTCTCTATTAGAGCTTAAGTTCTGAGCACCCTGGTTTGCCATGCAAAATGTTTGCAAAAGGAGGGCCATGATAGCACCAAACCCATTTTCAGAGTCCCCACATAGTTTGAGCCTCCATTGAATGCTTTCTGATAGTTAACCAAGGGTATAGATAATCTTGCCCTCAAGCAGAATGCCTTGGAGAGTGGATTGCCTCCACCCCTCTCTGGCCAACCCAGGAGGCTCAGTCTTTAGGGGCTTGCCACTTTGGTGTGTCCTTGATGATGGTACAGAGGTTGAATAGTCGTGTCATGCCCTATCAGTCTCTCCCTGACTACCTTGGTCTGAAGTCCCTGGCTCAATCTTTTGAGCCCTTATATCTAACAATGTGTCCATCCCACTCATGGTCTTGTTGCTGCTTCTGTGGTCCCACCTGTAACTGGGATGTATTCCTCTGTTGTTAATCATGCTTTTAATCTCCTTTGTCCTCTCAGGCCCTTTTTGAAAGTATTGTATTTCAACAAAACTTGTGTAAGTTCATCCAGATGTTGTGCCTATGTCATTGTGCTGGTTTTGTCTCTTTTAAGACTCAATAAACATTCTCTTTAAAATGTATTTGAGATGGGGTCTCTCTTGTACCCTAAAACAATTTTAACTCATGGTTACCCCATGCTTGCAGTGTAGAACTGCTCTATAAGGTTTTCAAGGCTGTGAATTTTTGAAATCAAATTGTTGGGCCATTCTTACACAGTGCCTTTAGGTGTGGTTGAAGAGCCAAGCCTTTGGTAAGCAGTCAAGTGCTTATCTTAACTGGTTACAAGACCCAGGGGCCACTCTAAATCAAACACTCACTGCCATCTAATGAATTCTGACTCATAGTGACCCTCTAGGACAGGGTAGAATTGCCCCTGTGGGCTTCTGAGACTGTAACTCTTTTTTCTTTTTTAAATCATTTTATTAGGGGCTCATGCAACTCTTGAGACTGTAACCCTTTATGGGAGTAGAAAACCCTGTTTTTCTCCATTGGAGTGACTGGTAGTTTAAAACTGTTGACCTTGCAGTTAGCAACTCAATGTGTAAGCACTATACCCTCCTGAGACCACTATCCTCACCTTAAACCCAAACCCATTACCATTGAGTTAATTATAACTCATAGTGATCACAGTTTCTAAGACTGTAAATTTTTTTAAGGTTTTATTTTTTCAACAGTTTTATTGGCAGATCATTCACATATTATACAATCCAATCATATCAAAAAGAGTTGTACAATTATCACCATGATGAGTTCTAGAACATTTTCTTCATTCTTGTACTAATTGTTAGTAGCTCCCATCCCTCCCTCCCCCTTCTCTGCCACCCCTCAAGAAACCATTAATCAGTTTTGGTCTCTACAGATTTACCTATCCTGGATTTCATATACAGGAAAATATTAACAAACACACAGACTTAACAAGTAAAACAAATAAAATCTTAAATAGAGAAGAAAGCAGAAAAATATTAAAAAACCTACAATAAATTTAAATGGATCATTAAGGGACATCAAATGATAGAGTGCTAGATTTTTTGCCTAATTGCATCTGTAACAATCTACTTTCCAATGCATTCAGAAGAGATTTACCAGGGGAGTCATTCACATGTACTTCCCTTCCCTTTTTAAAAACCGAAACAGCTTTAGAATGAGTCAAAAGGGAGATCAAGTGATATTACATTTTGACCTAACTATGTCTGCTATAATGGATTTTATCATACTTTCTGTCTGATAACAGGGCTATTCACATCCCTTTACTATGATCGGAGGGGATTCACTAGACGATTAACTCAGGTGTGGACCCTCCAAATGGATTTTGGGTGAGACTGTAAAGCCTTATAAGAGCAGACAACCTCATCTTTCTCTTATAGAATGGCTGGTGGATTTGAACTCTGACCTTTTGCTTAGCAGCCCAACCCTTATCCCACAGTGCCACTAAGGCTCCTGATCCCCACATTAAAGGTGAGGAAACCGAGGAGGAGATGTCAGCGGTGTACTGGGTGGTCAAGTCAGTATTCCATCCAGAGAATCTAGTGGACAGCAACTTCCTCAGAGTGTTAGCTGACCTTGGGGTGTGCTTTAGTTTCCAGGAGGACAGCTCTCAGACTACTCAATTCTGCTTCTTATGGCCTCTATCTCCCATCTTTTATTTTTTAGATTCGGGGTACGCATAGCTACCATTTTCTGTAGGTGCATAAAATAAGATTTGGGGGCTCAGAATTATGCAGAGCAGAGTTTGAATTTGAAGAGCTTAATTCTAAAGCAATTGTGGAAAGGTTTTTGAAAAATTACAGTTTACTGTGGGAAATATAGCCTATTTTGAGTCTTGGCATAAACTAAGAGTCTACTTGGGACACCCATGGCTATGATTTAGGGCCCACCACTCTGTCTGTCAGCTTGCCATAGGGAAGCCCACAAGGAAGACCACACTCAGCAGTGTCTCAAGCTGAAATAGCTGAAGACAAAAATTTAAGTCGAGATTTGCAATTTGCGAATGAGTCTATGGGCAAAATATTGAATAGTGCAAGAAGCATCACAAGACAATGCTTTCAGTGCAGCTTGGAATTCTTCCTTAAGTACCATCATTTTCTGGTCATTATGTGTGACAGCTAATGTCATGTGGCAACTTGACTAGGCTATGATTTTCAGTCATTTGACAGGTGTTATGTAATTTTCATCTGAAATGAGTAGCCAATCAGTTGGAAAAAGGAGTTTCTTACACGTTCCGGCCAAACTGTCTTTCTCTTTAAACCTTGAATCTAATTTTGGTTTTGGGGGCATAGGAAGTAAGCCTGTAGAGGCTTCCAGTCCATTGCCTGAGCTGCAGATTTGAGTGTCACCAGCCCTTACAATCACTGGTGCTGTGAATTATGAACTGCGCTGCTAACCACCAGTGAAAACCAGGGTTGAACTGGAAGAGCAGAGTGGCTCTGGGAGGGGCTGGGGATAGGCTGCAACTGAGGGTGACGGGCTGTCAGAACAGGTCTGCGAAGTGAAGTAGGGCAACTCCATAGGGGAGCTGGTTCTCCAAGGGAAGGGTCTTTAGCAGGAGAAAGGCATGGCTATTTTTGT